TTATTATTATTATCATCATTATCATTATCAAAAAGCAGCGCTAAGTTCACATTTATTATTATCAACAGCTTAGATCTCTAGTCTGCTATGAGAGTTTACACACAGAAGACACAGGCGTGTGTGGTGTAGTGGTGTCATCCTGTAGAGGTGTAGCGGTGTCAGCCTGGGTTGACCCTGACAGACAGAGCAGGAAGCCCGCCCCCTAAAGGACTTAAATTGTGTCGACAGGGATGTAAACTAAGAGCACCTATAATATTAATTGGGTTTTTTTAAGGAGACCAAAAAATGTATAAACAATGTACTAGATTTTTGACAAATTGTACACTCGTGTGAGACGCATGATGGTCTTTGTGAAGAAGAGTAAGCTTCTTTTCGCGTGGCTTACAGCACGATATTTTGCTTCCAAATATTAATATGTTTTAACAATGATTCGATTTTAACCCTGCCCGTCGTAAATACTTCAAATGTAAACTAAAATAGAGCGCTTTTCAAAATCGTCGACAGCAAGACCATACTTTTATTACTGAAACTAATTGGCTCGTTTAGAAATACATGTATATAACATTGTATAAAGATGTATTATCATCCTGTCTCGCTTTTCATCTGGGCATAGGTCACGAACAAACGTTTTCCACCTATCCCTATCCTGGGATAGCTTCTTGATATTGTTTCAAGTCTTCCCGCTTTTCTCTACCACATTCTCTGGGGCTCCTCTTCGTGTTCTACGTGGCTTTTCCCTAGATCTCTTATCCTGTGGGTTCCAATCCAACACTTTTTTGTTATGTACTTGCATGGCTTTCCGAGAGTATGTCCAATTCATTGCGTCCGCCATCTTCCCACTTCATCTCCGACTGGGCTCTGTCTTGTTCTCCTGGTTGGTGACCCTGTCTGTTCTTCTGATCGTGGGCAACTTTCTAGGTCACTTGTTTTTAAAAATCCGGTTCTTCTTTATGCAAGTCTGAGATAGATATAGATGAGTTCCATGTCCTACATCCATACAACAAGTCTGAGATAGATACGTTCCATGTCTCACATCCATACAACAAGTCTGAGATACGTTCCATGTCTCACATCCATACAACAAGTCTGAGATAGATACGTTCCATGTCTCACATCCATACAACAAGTCTGAGATAGATACGTTCTATGTCTCACATCCATACAACAAGTCTGAGATACGTTCCATGTCTCACATCCATACAACAAGTCTTAGATACGAAATACGAAATGGAAAGAGCCATTAAAAAAAACCCCACTAAGTTCAATGGATGAAAAAGTTACAACATCAGGAGAAAAGATTTACATCATACAGGTGTAGAAGTTTTAAAAATCTACATCAGAATTCAGGTTATTAACTAGGGTCACAGTAAAGTTTGAACAATTCGCGCCCCCAGTGCTTTCTTGTCGTATCTCCATTTTCAATAACAGTGAAAACAGTTCATAACAAAGAGTGAGCTTAAGAAGATGTCACATTTTCACTGTTTAAAAGATGGAGATACGACAAGAAAGCACTGAGGTCAGGAATTCTGAAATACTAAAAGCCCACATTATGTTTTATTCTGTAAAAATTGTAGTAAAGAGTTGCCCCAGGGTACACAAATATCTCGTCCTCCTCCTCCCCTCGGAGGCAATAGCCAGAGTTTAACATCAGACACCCAAAGGAAATATTTTAAATGCAAAAACTTGCAAGATCTGTTTTCCGTCGTTGATTCCAACTGCATCCTTGATTTTACAGGAAAGTGTAAATACATTTATATTGATTTTAAGCAAGTTATCATCTTTAGATTGTTATTTTACCTGAAGTTTTTAACACTCTAAACCTGATCGTTCCCCCCCCCCCCTAAAAAAAATGGGTAGAGAGACCTGAAACTCTGAAACTGCCCTAACTAACACTTTAGGTTCAATAACCAGGGTAGTCCAAACCACAGCGCAGAATGCCACACACTCAGCTGTCGACAAGCCGTGATGGTGATCTTACTGGACCAAGGCCCCGTGTCCATTGTATCGGACACGAACCGACCCGATTCCGTCCGTCTCTCGGAAAGTCGGTAGTTGAAATGGGGCACAGTTTCTTCCTAAGAAATTCTTGAAACTTCCGTTTGGCTGTGTCAACAAACACAACACGGTACGTCCCGACAAAAGACGTGTCGGTTGGAAAGCCGCTTGCTGCATTTTAGTCGGGCCAGGTGGTGACTCATCAGCCATGGGCCCCGCCGGAGCTAAATAAATTCTAATTTTGAGTTCGGATTAAAAATCTACCTTCATATTCGTATTCAGCGCCTCAAGATGAGCAAATTCTACGCGTAAACCACCTGGTTTAAATGCATATTAACAAATAAACCAGTCTTCCTTTAAAACCCACACATTTCTTATTCCTGCCTTGGGTTCATGTGACCTCTTGCCTATTTACATATATAACACCGTACCGAGAACACAGCCTTGGCACACGTCCGGGGAATAAGTAGGCCAGCAGGCCAACAGACTAGACGTGTCTTTTCCCAACTCTGTGGACACACAAGACAGAAACGACACAACCGATTTTCCTCCTCCCGACAAAAAATCGGGTCGCGTCCGTCCCAACTGACACGAAGACTTACATGTACGTAAACTATCCACCGAGAACCTCCCGGGGGGTCACAACGCGGGGAGATCATGTCGAAATTATAACGCTCGGGTTATATACAGCTATCAGAAGAAAAAAGTAATTGTGAATTAAAATACGACCCATCGACACACTTTAGCTCCTTTAAGAGGCGAGCGACCTCGACCTCTCCCCCATCCCATAAGTCTGGGAAAATCCGGGGTGAGAGGGATACAATATGACAGCAAGAAGATGGAGATAATCAACATTAAAAAAGCTCTCCACAAGAAAAACGAAGTCGCTTCTTCTGCATGCAACGGTGGCGCAGAGTCCAACAGAATGCGACTAAAGAGAGAAAGAAATCTGTAGCATTATGATGAGTGAATTCTAGAGAAGCTTTACTCATTTTGTCTGCTTGGTTGTAGCTTGGGCGTGGGGAAAAACCCAGTTCATTTTGACAGGACTCTGTAAAGTACATGGAGACATCGCACTACCTCAGATTGACAAAGTTTTTTCTGCTTAGTACCTCGCTTTGAACAATTTGACCTCAAAGATTTTGAGTTTCACAACATGTCAAACTTTTTCGAATGCAATTTTTTTAAAATATTTTGATAACGGCTCCGAGTAACCTTACGATTTTGATAGAGAAGATATAGAACGTGTATTTGGTTTCTGACCTCATGGTCTTTGTAACTCACAACAGCTTTTAAAAAATAGCAGACAGAACTTTGTAATTCTAAGGTAGCGATCACTCAGAGATCATGGTTGCCGCAGAACTCCTGGTGGAAGTGTACCCCGTAGACGACGAAGCTCTGCGAGCCTTGAAGCAAGCCACCAGCAGATTCCACACCCGTCTGTTGCCCGTAAAGGCCAGGACAAGCAGAAGCCCCTGAAGTAACACCAGCAAGGAGTAGACAATCTCCAGCACTGGGTTCGAGGGGAACACGGCTAGCAGTGTCGCCAAAATCCAAGTGAAGCCCATAGCGGTGGAGAGCTTTAAGTAGATAATACAAGTCAGTCGGTCGGAACTTTTCTTGCAGATTTTTTCTGACGCCTTGCTCGCTTTATTTATGCCCACGAGGGTGATTGTAAACGCAACGACATTAACGATAAAGGACAGAGCATACGGGCCGATGATAAATGTCAACCGAGCCCACAGAGGTGCTGAAAACCAGAAACATATAGGATGGCCATACCGCGGGAACCTGGGTTCACTTTGCTGGTGAGAATCTGTGTGTGACTTGTTTAAGGCCTGAGTTGTACTGTTTTCCTCGTTCATGTCTGTGGTATTTACGTTCCACTTTTCACTTGACCCGTTCTCATTGCTTTCGTCCCCTTGTTCAGATCCTTCCACGGTGACGTCATCGGAGTGAGTCATATCAAGAAGTAATGACGTCATGACTATTGACACACTAACGGTCCAGACAACAGCTGAGAAACGTAAGAAAATAGAGTTACGGTTTAAAGACCCCTGGGGGTTACTGATTCTGGCACCAAAAGTGAGCGCCATATTGACGGCAATAGCAGACATCCAGGCGTAGGAAGCCAAAGCAAAAAGGTGGTGGAGAGCAGCAAAGACAGGACAGACGTAGTCGTTGTGAATATCGAAGTACGTGAACATGTTCAAAATGTACATGGTCATCATACAGCCTGCCAGGTTGGCAGTCATTTTTCCCGGGAGGTTTCTTAATTCTGAAAACTTTCCATAAATTAGCAGCATGACAAACAAAGTAACTATAGAGAGTGAAGTTGCTGTTAGTGATATGATGCTGAACGTAAGACTGAACCCATTCGTGTAGACCCCAGCTTCAAAAGTCAGATCAGAACAAACATAAGCTTTATCTTCCACGAGCTCAAAGTTCCCCTCTGTATACACGTTTCCTGTTTGAAGAACTACCAGTGACGTTCCGTTGATAGCTGTTTGGTTTAACCAATACGACACCACAACACACTCTGTGTTATTGAAGAGGTTACTTTCACATACAGTAAATGTGTCCTGTGAAGAATTGAAAGTACCGAGGCGTGAAATATAATGTTCGAGCTTGACAGAAAAACCAATGTATTCCAGAGGGAAGTAAATGCCTCCCTGTATTGTATTCTCAACTGCATACTGCTTACCTCTTATGGTCTGAATTTCTGGGTCTTTTAGGTTCCTAGGGCGGCCATTGAACGGACACACGGTCTCATCTCTGTGTATGACATTCGTGTACGACACACTGAGAACATTTCTCTGGTGGTCAAAATATCTGGCTATCGCATTGACCGCGTACTGTAAGTCATTTAGCGAACCTACTATGTCGGTGTTTACAGCTATCGATCCTTCCACGATAGCAGCAGGCCGTTGGTGTACTGACGGCACGCTGTTAGAAACTTCAGGCATCAGGAGTTCCATCTCAAGACAGGGATATCCGTCTATTGTAGTAGTTGTTGTTGTTGTTGTTGTTGTTGTTGTTGTTGTTGTTGTTGTTGTTGTTGTTGTCGTTGTTCCCAAACCACGTTGCAACTCATTTCGCAGATCTAGAGAGATTTCGTGCAATCCTTTCAAAGCCTGCTGGAACGCTTCAACCTTTCTCTCTATTTCTCTTAGATTCTCTGTTTGTTCTGTTTCATCGTTTTGCAATGTTGCAAAGTCTGTTTGCAATTCTTTGGACTCAATGAACGCGTCCTCTACGTCATTGTGAAAGTCATTGGCGGTACGTTTCATGTTTTTAAAATCCCGTTGCAGTTCTTTGACATATCTGAGAATGATTAGATTTTCCAACCTGAGCGCTGTACGAGAGTTGTGTGAAGCAAACATCTCCTCCATCTCTTTGGACCGGCAGTGTAGGGGGGATTCCGCCCTACTTTCGTCAAGTACAACAGAGAACTTAACAGAATTCCAACCATTAGGAAAATATTGCGTATCCTTCGGCACCATTGTCTGTGCGTTTGACGGCATACATTGACCTCGATAAGGCTCGAACCCGGGAGAACAGAACCTCTGTGTGCAAGTCCGTGTCAGCGGCTCAAACACCTGGTCGTCCTCACACAAGTATCCCTGGACCTGGCTCCCTCCGTTCTCAGAGCTGTATTGTCCAGTGATGTCCAGAACAATCAGAATGCCACCCTGACTATTAGATATACGTGACAAAGCTGGGATATTATGCTGACTGTACGTTGTACAAACGGGCAAAGTAAGAACATCTACTGCTCCAACTTTATCTTTATTTCTATTTGGCGACATACACATCGCACAGTGCGGGTTTTTGTACGTCCCAGACGGCAAGACGTAAGCTCTGCACAACGCGGCGTCCAGCTGAGAACAGTTCCCTGTCCTGACTTGTTCTCTCAGAACACTTCTGTCTGCCACAGCAAGCCGTGACTCTTGGCGACAGCTGCGAGGTGAGCAAACCTCACGTGGTTCTTTGTGCGCCATGGTACAACGCTTGTCCTTCACATATTCCTTTATCCTTGCCAAAGTGAGAAGCGTTGATTCCGGAACAACGTTTGTGTCGCACGTAATTTCACTTTTCCAGACTGTGAGTTCACTTTTGTCTATGCTGTGGCAAGAAGCACAATGCACATTTCTAAACACAAGATGGAAGGAACGCTGTTGTAACGACACGATTGGCAAAAGCGGATCGGTTTGATGTTCACACATTTCCCTTACAACGTTATCTAGATGTCCACTAGGACATGTGGACACCATTCGATAAAACGTAGACCCTGTACCGACACATTGACCATACTGTGTGTTATAGAAGTCAACCAACTGTTTTGATTGGCTGGTGTCTCTGGCAAGTTCTTGGTCCTGAGGTAAGTTCCCTGTAAACGGCCAAGCTTCACGTCTCGCCTCTTCTGCCAGAATTCTATCCAATAGATCCGACTCATTTCTAGCACGGAAACATTTCTCAAACACATTTGGGCAGCAGTCTCCGTAGAGGACACAGCTGGTGTGGCAGGAACAAGAAAACTTCCGCGTGTGCTTGCCCCATGTTGCACACCTCGGAGTGTCCGCACCGTCGGGCACCGTTTGGCCACCATTGTCTTCGGTGACGACGTCACTGTAGGAGTTTGAAATGGTGCTGTCTGAAAGTTCTCTGGGTGTTTGCTTGTCGAGATATCCCCAGGATCTCTGCTTGTCGAGATATTCCGTGGATGTTTGTTTGTAGAGATATCCCCAGGATCTCTGCTTGTCGAGATATTCCGTGGATGTTTGTTTGTAGAGATATCCCCAGGATCTCTGCTTGTCGAGATATTCCGTGGATGTTTGTTTGTAGAGATATCCCCAGGATCTCTGCTTGTCGAGATATTCCGTGGATGTTTGTTTGTAGAGATATCCCCAGGATCTCTGCTTGTCGACATGTTTCCTGCCTATTTGTTCGTCGCCTGACGTAAAGCTGCCCCCATAGCAACTTTTACATATCATGTCACAAGTCAGGTATACAGGAAAGGAAACGTCTTCATGGTTGCCTGATCCAGGAGTAGACTTTGCAGCAACTGTTGATGTTGCAACAGTTGGTGCTGGACCTGCCTCTAAATCTGGATTTACTAAGAATTCTTCGGAGCCACTCATTGACCAAGTTACGCCAAGGAAGTTATTCTGGAAACTTCCGTCAAAACCTCTAGGCCTAAGTGTTTTACTGGGGACTGTCAACGAATCTATTAATAATTGAGAGTCTAGCGACAAGTTTTGATCTTCAGAACGAAGTGGCTTCAACGTTGTCGTATTTTGAGACGAGCTGCCACTGTCCTCAGCAAGATGTAACGGATTCGACGTAATTAAGAAGCCTTCCCCTAGCGACCGAAGTTCCGTCCCTGTAGATCTTGTGTCGTCCGATGTTGTTGTTATTACGCTTTCCAAATCTTCATCCTTTTCACTTTCCTCAAAGACATTTTCACCCAACGACTTTGTGTCACTTTTGAAGCCAGCTGGTTTATCTTCCTTGGTTTCCAAAACCCGCGAAAAGCTTGTAGAGATGTCTGATCTACGAGAATCGTTCTCACTGTCCGAAGATGATGTCTGTTCTGAGATGCCTAGCGTATTTGCCGTTACATCCAACCACTCGGCTCTCGTTCTAAGTTCAGCAGAAGAAGTCGCTAGGCCTAACCGCGACGTCGGCGCCACGTTTGGAATACCGCTCTCGTCGTGATTCGGTTCTTTATAGCCCCCTGTGCCCATCGCAGAGTTGTGGTCCAGTGTAACTGTAGTGTGGGTTGTCAT